GGTGGGGCAGATCCAGTGGGTTATAAGGGGGGGGGGGAGGCGGGTAACACAATGACCACAGGCTTAGGGAAGGGTGGGGGGGCCCTGGTGGGGTGGCTCGCTTACCGCGGGGTCCTCTACAATGCGAAAGGAGCTGTCGGTGCTGGCGATGAACTCGACAATCGCCTGACGCAAACGCGGCTCCGACACACGTGGGCCAAGGAACCGGTCCATCGTGGGCTGCCTTCCGTCCGCCGCTGCCGGGGACAGGTATGGGATGGTGGCGCCAGGGGGGGGGGGTGCGGCCAAGTCTTGGACCACTTGTTGGGCGCCTTCCCATCAGGGACATGTGGGTATCCCCCCACCGGAAATGACTCTCCTGGCTCCAGACCCTCGACCACGCGCCGCTGCCATATGTCCCAGTGTGTGCGATGGTGTCTCGCCATATGCTTGGCACTCGTGCTGCTCTGGCTGTCCTTAAAGCCCATCAGCTTCTCGCACATCTTGCACACTCGCTTCCTCTCGCTTCCCAAGAAACACTCTGCCACACGCTTGTTGCTCCTCTTTGCCCCAACCTTGCGGTTCTTTTTCTGTCTCTTCCATCTCCCCTCCTGCTCAATGCCTAGGTCCACCTCCTCAGCCCCATCCGCACGCCCTCCCCTTGCCCTGAAACCCGACGGCAGGTGCAGCACGCTCCTCCCCCTCCTCCCCGCCCCTCCCTCCCCCCCTTGCACCTGTCTCTGGCCGTCGCCCAACCCCACTCCCTTCCTGACGCTGCCTCTTCCCCCCGCTACTCCCACCCGTTCCCTTCTTGGACCGACCCTCTCCCTCCTCCTCCTCCTCCTCCTCCTCCTCTACCAATCCCTCCATCTCGTGCTCATCATCCCCCTCCTCCTCTTCCTCCTCATACTCGCTGCCGCTGGATTTTCCGCACTCCCGCTCCTCCGAATCGCTCCCATCCCTCTCATCGCCACCGCTCTCCCTGCTGCGGCGAGCTTGTGCCCGCTTGGCCCTCCTCCCCTCCCCCTGGGCCCTCCCCCCCTCTCCCCCTCATCCCATCCCCTGCCGAGAGAGGAGGAAATTCGTCCACTCCTGAGGCATGTGGGGCATGGCTCCACCTGCGTCGGTCGCATTCGCTCGCGAACTCACACCCCCCTTGGCGACATGGTTAGGTTAGGGTTGGTTGACGAAATAGGCTTGGGGGAGTTTATCGATTTGAAATTTGACTGTCGCGAAACCCCCCCTTACCCGAACCGCGAGCCAGCTAGCTCGAAATCGAGCCATCTCAAGCCGGCTCGATTCCGGCTCGCCTGGTTTCGCGTGCGCGAGACGAGCCGAGCCGAGCACAAAAATAAAAGGCTCGGCTCGCCTTTAAGGTGAGCCGAGCCAAGCTGAGCCAGGTGTGGCTCGGCTTGTGCCCATGTGTACTCCAATGGTACCCCTACAAGCAAAACCGGAGCAGATTCAACATCGATGCTGAGTAGTAGAAACCTAAGTTGGACTTAACGTTTACGTTGACTAACGTTTACGAACGTTTACGACTTAACATTTACATACATTGTCTGGTTTTGGGCTAACGTTTACGGTCAGCCATAAAAGTTTCCCTGGCTGCCCGAACAAACAAAAACCAGCAAACGTCACCCCACAATTTCCCCTCGCGTAGTTCGCACGGAACGGATTTTGACGGGAAACAAGGTTTCCGCGTCACATTTCGTCCCACACACGTTTTGTGATGACGAATTTGGGTGTAGCAGGGGAGTGACTGATTTTTGGAGAATCCGATTAGTCGTTGGATTTCCACCCCCACGGCCAACCCAATTTCCCGTACACACCACGCCTACCCCTCGATTCCCTTCTCCACTTCTTCCTCGACGAATTCCTTCACCTACCTAAGACGCGGCATACTTCCGCAGCAGGCGCCAAACTTCCACGCAGCCTAAACGCAAGCTATTAGCAGAATTTCAGTCGACTAAACAGCTAGCATGCTATGATCTTCTCCCAAACGTAAGCTTAGTCCATTCCTCGTACAACCGCGAAGTAAACATTTCCAGCCGTGGGCACAGTTAGGTTGCGGCTTTCCATTCAAGGCCAGAATTTCTCGCGATTTTTTTTCCCATTTTTTTTTTTACCTGCCCAGCGTTAGTAGGGCACGTTCGTTAACGTTCGCCAGCGTTAACGTTAGTTAACGCGTTACGTAATGCTAACGCAGCCCAAAATAGCGTTAGAGCCCAACTTAGGTTGAAACGGCATCAACGTCATCCAAACTGTTACTATAGAGGACACATGACGACCCAGTGGACCTACACCTATACGTGCATCCAGACACCGAGATCAATTGATGGAATCCGTGCTAAACTGTACATGTATGAGGCATACTGGAGTCACGGTCATCGTCACCAACAGCCTACTGAAAATGGAAGAGGAATCAAATGGGTTGAGCGCAGAAATACCCATATTTCCTTCACCACGACCATGGATTGAGGCTCTACCGATGAACATGGTGGCACCGTCCTACTACAATCACTTCGCAACAAGTCTCTTCGCAACGGCACGCAGCAGTTACACCGTTACTACGCTATACAGACCGGTACACGACTGCTACGTCAACCTAGGCTTGAGCATACTACCCGCCCGGGTCGGGTACCCGGACCCGGATCCGCTTTTAGGGCGGGTCGGATATCCTGAATCCTGAAAATTACCCGGCGGGTCGGGTCCGGGTTACCCGGGCGGGTATTCGATTCCCGTTACCCGAAATCGGGCCCGACATGAAAGGGTAATGGGTACCCGACCCGCCGGGTATTGAATGCCCGACTTCGAGTACCGCCCCTCTCATGCTGGCAAAAATGCTACCCGACCCGGTTTTATGACCACGCTGTCAACGCCCACCCCGGGGGGCCACCATGACAAACACACCAATGGCAACAAAAGGGTAAAACACAGTTTGTTTAGGCATTTTTGCATGGGCAGGTAGCAATACCCGCTTTTAGCCTTAACCGGGTCGGGTATACCCGGATGCGCCTGGCGAGTATTATATTACCCGCCAGGAAGGGCCGGATCCGGGTAATGGTCCTGGGGGTATTACCCGACCTGGACCCGACCTGACCCGACCCAGAAATACCCGACCCAAGGTCAGGCATGGCAAATCCGGGTCGGGTCGGGTATTTACCCGGTTTTGCTCATCCCTACGTCAACCTCGCACGCTTGGTGGTTTCTTGACCACATGAAGCAGTTATCGTCGCTACAGCATGCTACAATGCAGCTGAATTCTACTGACCGCAACTCAGGCACGGACTTATCACCATTCGCTACGCTACTCTGCAACCTGAGTAGGAGCGTCACATGTCCCAATCCTTCAACATAGGATACCTGCTACCTTCACTTGTACAAGGTCACGAGTGTGTGGAATAAAGTACAGAGGAGCTATTGTTCAAGCACAACTATGTTGGCTTGATTTTTTAATTACTACTTTGAGCCTCGCAACCCTAAGTGCTCGCTGAAGAGTTGGGCGCTTTCAACGTCTACCAAGTTTTAAGAAGAGGAACTGTGAGAAGATGAGGCTTGCCGAATCCTTGAGCACATCCATTTGCATATTTGCTATTTACTTATGTGTTATTTTGTGTGTTTCTTCTTTTTTGGAAATCCCTACACTACACTCTTCCCTACACATTGATATATTTCATACATATCATATTAGACATGGGCAGCATGCCGAGCCCGGCTCGACTCGGCTCGACTCGACTCGTCTTTTCGGCGAATCGAGCCGGAATTTTTTTTTGGCCGGCTCGACCCGAGTCGAGCCGAGTCGAGCCGGTCGAGCCGAGTCGAGCCGGTCGAGCCGTGCGGCTCGGCTCGACTCGTCGCAAATTCATGGCGAGCCAAAGTCGAGCCGGCTCGACTTTGGCTCGAATTTGGCTCGACTCGTGAAGCGCACGGCTTGCCAGCGGGGGGTCAAAATTCGACCGCCCTGGAAGACGAAAATCCCTTTGGCGAGTCGAGCCGAGCCGAGCCAAGGTCGAGCCGACCCTTGGCTCGACCCTGAACCCCCGAGTCGAGCCAACCATTTTGGGGCAGCCGGCTCGGGTCGAGTCGAGTCGGCTCGGCTCGACTTTTACCTGGCTCGAGGTCGAGTCGAGCCGAGTCGAGCCAGGCTCGGCATGCTGCCCATGTCTATATCATATGTGTTACGGAGTGTTTCGGACCTTCCTTGCGTGACACGTTTTCTATTGCGTGAAGTGTTCCGTCACCGTCACCGTATCTCTAGAATCCCTACCGTGCTTCTAGGTGGTGTTCCTACGAAGGATTCCACTCATTTCTATAACTCTCTTAAAAGGTCCTAGTTACATTTCTCTATAATTCTCGTAGGTATAAATAGCATTGACTCTTTGCTGGTAGACATTCACTTGTTGATTCGTATCATTCAAGCATCTGCTAAATCTTGGACCTGTGACAGAACTGCTGCTGCTGTTGCGGCTGAAACTGCTGCTGCTGAGTCTGCTGTGGAGTCTGCTACTGCAACCGCTGAGCGATGGCCTGGTGGGCCAAGGGGGAGGAGCCTGGCTGGTAGAGAGGGGACGTACGAACCTCCTAAGGAGTGGGGCGAGGAGAGAGGGAGGACCAGCAGGGGGGGGGTGCTGGAATTGCCGCAGGCAAACCACTCATCACTGAGCGCCTTGAAGCAGGTATCGGTGGCATGAGTGGTCTGGTCGCAGCGCTGACCCCGTGTGGGGCCATAGCGAGGGAGATACTAACAAGGAGGGAAGGTGGCTGCTGCACCACGTCCTGCGGTGGAGGAGGAATGGTGCAAGAGGTCGGCCTCAGTGGTGATGATCCACTGGGTGACCTCAGCTGGGGTGATGCGCTTGTCGATCAGCTGCATGTGGGAGATCTTGTGGGTGTCGAAGGCAGGAGTCAAGCATTCAAGGAGGTGGCAGCAGAGCACAGGGTCCGGGCATGGCACGCCAAGAGCCGCCAGACGACGAGCGAGGTCGAGGACGCGACGCGTGAAGGCAGCTGCGCCGGTCGTAGAGTCCATGGTGAGGATCTGGAACTCCTTGGTGAGGGAGTAGAGGTGGGGACATTCTGCCGATCATAGAGATCGGTGAGGAGCCGCCAGAGGTGGGAGGAGGAGGTGGGAGCAAGCTCCCGCTTGGGGGAGGGAGGAATGCTGGCGAGGAGGATGGTGAGCGCGCGCCGATCAGCGACACGCAAGGCGGCGAGGTCGGTGATGTATGTGCGCTCGCGTCTGGCGTACTCCGCGAGCGCCGCCTGGTACGTGTCATAAGCGACAGTGGCGGCGTCATGCTGAGCGCAGGAAGACTCGTAGATCAGCTGCTGGCGGGCGTGGTCGGTGATGCCGGCGCGGTAGGTGCGGATGGCGGTCTCCGAGCTCTGAGGGTCATTGACGTCAAGGGCGAAGGTTGGAGGATCGTCGGGGCTGACAAGAGCATCGCCAGAAGGAGGAGGTGCAGGGCCCGCAGAAGCATCCGGCTGGGCAAGCTGAAGACCGCGCTCCTCGAGATGGACAACGGCTTTCAAATTGTAGCCGTTGACCGTCACCGAGGAGAGAAGCACCGTGATTGTTTGGGCACAGGAATGCCAATTGGTCGGGGTGTTGTCCGGCAGCAGCTCGAGAGCGTCCACAGAGTTGAGATCCGCTAAGGAATCGGACGCCATTTAGGAGGAGGAGGGGAAGGAAGGGGAAGAGGAGGAGGAGGAGGAGGAGGAGGAGAGAGGGGGGGGGAGGAGGAGGAGGAGGAGGAGGAGGAGGAGGAGGAGGAGGAGGAGGAGGAGGAGGAGGAGGGAGGGGGGAGGGGGGGAGGAGGAGGAGGAGGAGGAGGAGGAGGAGGAGGAGGAGGAGGAGGAGGAGGAGGAGGAGGAGGAGGAGGAGGAGGGGGGGGGGGGGGAGGGGGGAGGGGGGGGAGGGGGGAGGAGGGGAGGAGGAGGAGGAGGAGGAGGAGGAGGAGGAGGAGGAGGAGGAGGAGGAGGAGGAGGAGGAGGAGGAGGAGGAGGAGGAGGAGGAGGAGGAGGAGGAGGAGGAGGAGGAGGAGGAGGAGGAGGAGGAGGAGGAGGAGGAGGAGGAGGAGGAGGAGGAGGAGGAGGAGGAGGAGGGAGGAGGAGGAGGAGGAGGAGGAGGAGGAGGAGGAGGAGGAGGAGGAGGAGGAGGAGGAGGAGGAGGAGGAGGAGGAGGAGGGAGGAGGAGGAGGAGGAGGAGGAGGAGGAGGAGGAGGAGGAGGAGGAGGAGGAGGAGGAGGAGAAGAAGAGTAGGTGCGCGAAGCGTAGCTCTTAAGTCGCTGAAGGCGACGGGCAGCACGACGGGAGGCCGCAACAGACGGTCGCGCGCAACGGCGGAAGCAGCGACGGACGATCGCGTGCGACATCGCAAGCGACTACAGTGGACCGCACGCGACGGCGGAAACGACGACTGGGGCGGCGAGAAAGGGCACGACGGGAGGATTCGTTGACGGGCGTGCGCGGGGGCCGCGACGAACGGGCACGCAGTGGGAGAGCGTGACAAACGTCCGCGCGCGACGGCGGGAGGGGGCGGCGACAGGCCGCGCAAGGAGGATTCGTCGACCGGCGCGACGGGAGGTGCGCGACTGGAGGGAGAGTGGGCGCAACGGGAGAGCGCGACGGGAGAGGGCGCACGGATGGCACGGGGAACAGCCTAAGGAAGGGCTAGGCTTTGAGGACGAGGAGGGACGGCTTAGGGCCGTGCTAGTTAGGATCGACTAGAGGTGGCGTGAGCCATTGTGGCTCCGATTACCATGAAGGAACTAGCTTTGAGGAGAAAAAAGGTAAAAAGAGTAGAGAGCCAAGAGGATCTATTGTACAAACAAGGAGCAAGGAATAGTTGGAAGGGAAGCTCTCCTATTGGCCATAATGTGGACCAATGGGAGTGGTTGCTTGGAGGGCAAGCAACTACGAAGTGTGATGCTCTCCGATTGGCCACAATGTGGACCAATGGGAGAGGTTGCTTGGAAGGCAAGCAACCAAATGTCTAGGACCAAATCCAATCTTGACCAACCCAAATGTGGGGTTGGTCAACCCAACCAACAACCCCCAAAATGAAGATAATGACTACACCTCCTAAGCTAGGCATGCATGTTATATATATATATATATATATATATTTTTTTTTTATATATATTTTTTTTTACGACACACACAATTGTGCATCAACAACATTGCAGCCTATCTCCAACACAAGGATGGCACGAGGGGGGCAAGCATGGCATGAGGGGGACATGAATGGCATGAGGGGGGCAAGGATGGCATGAGGGGGACATGAATGGCATGAGGGGGACAAGGATGGCATGAGGGCGGAAAGGGTGGCATGAGGGGGACAAGGGTAACATTAGGGGGGCAAGGATGGCATGAGGGGTAAAAGAAACTAACTTTGGAGAGAAAGGATGAATTAGGAAGGGAGCCAAGAGGCTTGATGGTACAAGCAAGGAGCAAAGGAATCGTTGGAAGGGAAGCTTCTCTCATTGACTACAATCGTAGCCCATGGGAGAGATGCTTGGAAGGGAAGCAACTTCAAAGTGTGGTGGTTGTTGATTGGTTGGGCCTTGGGACCATTTGGTTGAAAAATGCCAACCCAAGGACCAAGAGCAAATCCAGCCTTGACCAACCCAGATTGTGGTTGGTGAACCCAACCAACATCCCCCCAATAAGTAAAATGACCACACCCCTCCATTCTAGCCTATGTACGTTGTTTATATAATATATTACAACAGTGGGGACAAGGATGGCACGAGGGGGACAACGATGGCATGAGGGGGGCAAGGATGACATCTCAGCGCCCACCTTTGCGCCGCAACCCTCTCAGCACCGCCACGGCCGCATCGGCATCACCGCGTTCCGCATGGGCACCAATCAGAATGTTGTGCGCTGATGTCAGCAAGGCCCTCGTCGTTGCCTGCCCGTGTGCCATGGCCCTTGACTTCCCCTTCCCCCCATCCACCACCACACCCCTCCCTTGCGCCTCACCCTCCACCGCAACCCTGTGTGCCCGTCTCTTCCCTCCTTGCCCCCCCACTTGATCCCTGCCCATGCTCTCCTTCACGCCCTTCCCCCCTCTTCTCTTCGCCTCATGCCCCCTCGTCTGCACTCCCACGGCTCCCCTCCTCCCCTCATGACCCACGCCATCCCCCCACCCCCCGATAGCTGGCATTCCTTCGCCATCACCCCTGCCTGCCCATGCCGCGTCCCCCTCGCTTGCCCCACTGCAATCGCTGTCCTGCCTGCAATGCTCGGATCCACAACGGAGGGAGGAGGTGGGAAGGTGGGAAGGGACGGATGAGCAAGTAGTAAGAGAGGCAGAAGGTGAGCCGGCAGGACACAGCCCGAGAGACGAGCCGGGAGAGACAAGAGAAACGACCACGGAGCAAGTGGAGACACAGGAAGGGGGAAATTCGCAAGTGAGGGGGGGTTGTTTCAAGCGGGAAGGCTGGTTGGGGGGGGACGGAGTTAAGGAAGGAGAAGCGGCAGACAGCAGCACGAGGACATAGCGAAGGGGTGGCAGGGAGGGACACTGTACTGCCATGGCAGAGAGCGGGACACCGCCATGGCAGAGAGAGGGACACCGCCATGGCAGAGAGAGGGACACCGCCATGGCAGAGAGAGGGACACCGCCATGGCAGAGAGCGGGACACCGCCATGGCAGAGAGCGGGACACCGCCATGGCAGAGAGAGGGACACCGCCATGGCAGAGAGCGGGACACCGCCATGGCAGAGAGCGGGAGGCAAAGATGAACGCAGTGAGGAGAGCGCAGTGAGGAGAGCGCAGTGGGGGAGCGCAGCAGGGCGGCCTGCAGAGCAGGAATGGCACTCAATACGCCACATGGGACTCACTGCGCCACATGGCACTCACTGCGCCGCATGGCACTCACCGCACCACATGGCACTCACCGCGCCACATGGCACTCACCACGCCACATGGCACTCACTGCGTCACATGGCACTCACCGCACCACATGGCACTCACCGCGCCACATGGCACTCACCGCGCCACATGGCACTCACCGCGCCACATGGCACTCACCGCGCCACATGGCACTCACCGCGCCACATGGCACTCACCGCGCCACATGGCACTCACTGCGCCACATGGCACTCACCGCACCACATGGCACTCACCGCGCCACATGGCACTCACCGCGCCACTTGGCACTCACCGCGCCACATGGCGGCCTGCTGAAGTGGACGCTGTGTGGGCGGCTCTGTCAGAGGGGTCTAACAGCCTGCTGCCCTTGGCTCTTCCCCCGTTTGCCCTGGTCTGGGCGGCAAGGCTTGTCTCCATCTGGTGAACCACTGCAGCGCACTTGTCCACCATGCCAGCCTGTGCATACGCTGCACATTGATTGATCCATGTGACCAGCACGGAGGTGAGCGGTGGGAGGGGCGGGGGATGAGGAAGAGCGTAGGAGAGGAAACAACAGGGTGGAAAAGATGAGCAGAGAAGATCCGGACTATTTGGCAAAACGGCAAGAGGCGAGGAGGGAGGCAGAGAATCAACACGGGTAAGACAGGCAAGAGGGGGAGGTGATGAAGGCAAGAGGGGGAGGTGATGAAGGCAAGAGGGGGAGGTGATGAAGGCAAGAGGGGGAGGTGATGAAGGCGGTGAGAGAAGGTGAAAGGCGTGCAGGACGAAAGGAAGGTGAGGCAGGCACGCAGGACAGGTACGACATGCAAGGGAGGGCGGTGGGATGGTTGTTCGGGGTTGGGGAGGAAGGGAGGTTTGAAGCACCGACCATGCATGCACGAGCTCACCATGCATGCACGAGCTCACCATGCATGCACGAGCTCACCATGCATGCACGAGCTCACCATGCATGCACGAGCTCACCATGTGCGAGGGCGGAGAACACATAGGGCGAGGGGTGGATGCCAGCAGCCCTCATGTCTGCCCACAGCGCCTCTGCTGCTGCCACGTCCCCCGCCCTGCCCACACATGCTATGGCCACACTGCGCACGGGGGGAGTCAACACATGCAGGGGGGGAGTGCATGCAGGGGGGGAGTCAATGCATGCAGGGGGGGAGTGAATGCATGCAGGGGGGAGTGAATGCATGCAGGGGGGGAGTGCAAGCATGCAGGGGGGGAGTGCATGCATGCAGGGGGGGAGTGAATGCATGCAGGGTGGGAATGGGACGGGGGATGCAGCAGATGGCATGCAAGCAGCAGGGAAGGGGTGGAAGCGTTAGGGGAGATGATGGAATGGCAGTAGGTGGATTGGTTGGGATGATGGAATGGCACAAGGTGGATTGGTTGGGATGATGGGGCGTTGCCAAGAGGTTGCATTGCTGACAGTCTCCGGCATTCTGCATTCGTAAGCGGAAGCTTCATTCACTCCATCCATCTCATTCCAACACCCCCACCAAGTGAGCATGCCGTCAGCGCCACGCATGCGCCATGGGTGAGTGAGCGCCATCCGTGGAGGCAGGAAGCGTTCACTGGGGAACGGCTCCCGCCACCGCGTCTACTGGCTGCTGGGCGGGCGCTCCTCGTGCATACGTGCATGCACGCACGGGCTTGGGAGGCTGTGGTACGGCAGGCCTCCATGCCCCTCCATGCCCCTACCTGCCCCTCCATGCCCCTACCTGCCCCTCCATGCCCCTACCTGCCCCTCCATGCCCCTACCTGCCCCTCCATGCCCCTACCTGCCCCTCCATGCCCCTATCGTACCCCCCTATGCATGCCCCACCTGAACGTCCTCTCAGTGGGTGCCACGTGGCATCTGCGCATGGTAGCCAGCACGCCTCTGACTCCCTCCACGTGGCTCTCCCCCTCCATGACCACGTGGAACGCCGCCGCATCGGGGGGCGGGCCGCGCTGCTCCATATGCTGCCACGCCACGCGGGGGAGAGGAGGGGCGGCCCGGGTGGGGAGCGTGGGGGTCCGGGAGGAGAGGGCAGGGAGTTGGCGGGAAGGAGTGAGGTGAGGGGGGATGACTGTAAATGGATGCGTGGAATGGTGCGCTCTATGAGGGACGCACGCGCCTCTCCCACCTGCAGCAGCGCGTACGCGTGTCGCCGCTGCCCCGCCCTGCAGTACCCTCTGGCCAGCACGGTGAGCACGCGGCAGTTGGGCTCCGCTGCTCCCCCCGCCGCCCACGCCAGCCGCACCACCTGCTCTGCCCGCGCCATGTCGCCCGCCTCCATGCACACCTGGGGAAGGGGAAGGAGGGCGGGGGGGAAGTCAAGGGCTGTGCGACTGAGTCGCGGTCGCGAGGCCGGCGCTCCAGCCTTTCTACGGCCGCACGAGCGCCACGCACCTTGACCGCAGCAGCCACATGCCGCACGTTCACCTCCACGCCCCTCATCCCCTCTCCCCCTCCACCGCCCTGCTGCTCGCCGTCCGCGCCCCCCATTTCGTCCAATCCCGCCTCCTCCATCCCCCCCTCCTCCCCCTCGCCCCTTGACCATTCCGCCTCTCTCTCCGCCGATCGCTTCCCCCTCACTGCGCGCATGAGCGCGGGCGTCACCATGCGCACCGCCTTAGCAGCGCGCTCCCCTGCCGTCAGCTTTCCGCCCTGCCCCGCCGCCACCAGCGCCTTCAGCAGCGCGCGCTCCTTCGCCCTGCGCGCCTCCCTGCGACTCCGCGCGTTCATCGCACCATCGCCGCCCGCCACTCCATTTCCGCCTCGCGTATTCCCTGCTTGTCCGCGCTCCTCCCTCCCCCACTCCTCTCCTCCGCACTCCTCTCTCCCCCACTCCTCTCCTCCGCGCTCCTCCCTCCCCCACTCCTCTCCTCCGCGCTCCTCTCTCCCCCACTCCTCTCCTCCGCGCTCCTCTCTCCCCCACTCCTCTCCTCCGCACTCCTCTCTCCCCCACTCCTCTCCTCCGCGCTCCTCTCTCCCCCACTCCTCTCCTCCGCACTCCTCTCTCCCCCACTCCTCTCCTCCGCGCTCCTCGCTTCCGCGCTTCTCGCTTCCGCGCTCCTCTCTTCCGCGCTTCTCGCTTCCGCTATCCTCTCTTCCGCGTGCATTGCGCGTGCCGGTGGTGGCGGGCGGCTTCAGCGGGGCAGAGGCGCAGAGGCCGCTGCTAGGGGCGGCGCAGGACGGGGAGAGCGCGGCATGGGGAGCGAGCAGCGGGCGGCTGGCGGGCTGCGCGAGGCACGGCGATGGCGCGCGGGGAGGACCCCAGAAGGACGCGGCGAGCATCGGAGCCGCGCGGTGAGGCGAAGCGGCGGAAGCGAGGATCGCGCTGCGCAAGGAGGGAGTAGTCTGGTCGGGTTAGTGTGCGGGCATGTTCCCGAGAATGCTGCGATGCGCGGTGTGCTATGGAGTGACCGCGTGTACCTGGTCAGTGCATCCGACGTGGCAGTCTGACGTGGGCGTGGATGTGGTGATCTGGCGGCAGGGAGTGCGAGAGTGGAATGGTTGGTTTTGTCCATCGCTATCTCCAAGCGCCCGTTTCGTTTTTGGCTGTGAGCCAATCCCTGGGTGGGTTGTGCTGGGTTTGGTTTGGAGGCAGTGGCTGGACGATCTTTCCATTTTCGTGAACGAGGTCTGTTTCGTCCACCAGAGGCGAGAATGACTTCGTTACCACGTTACCAGCCTCATCAAAGAACTGCACTACACCCTTCCCCACCACGGGCAGACCGCTGCTCAAACTGGCCCCCGCATTCCCCAAAAAGTCCATTCCTCTCCCACCTGGAGATGCGGCAGAAACAGTATCGTTCCAGCAGCCATGCCTACAGAAGCCCCTACTCGCGGCGCGTGACTATGATCCGTTCTCGGCATTTTCAGGGCGCGCAGATGCGTCGCGACCGCATCGACTAGAACCTGGGGCAAGCGTTTTGCAGCTGGTTGGGAAAAACCAGGTTTTGTGTCGCGAGGGTGCGTGAATTGCAACACTCGCAACGATTTCACTGGTGCCTAAAGCTCGCCGGCCAATCAGTAGTTTTCGTCCCAACCAACTGTTTTACAGTTTGTAAACTTGGGTCCCTGGCTTTGGCCTCCGATTTCCGACAGCAATTCCAGCGTTACTGCGTCCGCACGGGTAATTTACTGGCGTCTTCCGTTGGATTGCGCCCCTCGCATCTCTCGTCCCTCCTTCTCGCGCCCGCCATGCTACCTGCATGTGCCGCCGTTTAGGCTGCCGCGTTCATCTCATCCGCAAGCCCGATCCAGTCCCTTTGTTCGCTCCTGCGTGCCTTTCCTTGTGTGCCGTGCGCTCCCCGACAGGCGCGTGTAAGCGTGACGCTCTGTCTCGCACCAGCTGCACTGCACACGGCACCCACCCCATGGCGCCCGCGACGCCATCCAGTGCACGCAGCGCTGCCGCGGACGGCGCTGCTGCGACCAGCACAGCCATGCCGGCCGCCCCCGCCAGCCACGCACGACGCGCAGCAGAGCCTGACTCCGCTGCCGCGGCGCAGGCTTCCCACTCATCCACGAGTTGGGTGGACGGGTCTACCTCAGAAGCCGCAGGCGGCAGGCGAGAGCCGGCAGCAGCAGCAGCACCACCCAAGGAGTCGTGCATCAAGCACATGGACGCCATCTGGTTCTGCTACTGTGAGTGCCTCCACTGCCTGGGCTACTGTCAGTGGGCGGGTGTCGTGCGTGGCTGTGACGACTTGCTATGAGGGTACGGAAACGTGCATGCATACCTGTTGTGCAAATTTCCTGCACCAATGCCATGCTGTAATCTTGTCATGCGGCACTCAAATACTCCTTGTGCCTTCTTCCTTCTTCCCCCCCTCCTTTCCTCCTCCCCCCCCCCACCCCCCCAAACCCCCCCTGCACTGGCAGCGCCGGTGTACCAGACGACGCAGTACTACAGGGAGGGCGCGTTCGACTCGTGTGTGGGCAAGTGGGGCGACCTGTGGGACTGCATGCTGCTGCGCACCGCCGCCGCCCCCGCCGTCATGGTCAGTGCGCCATGCTGGACGACTCTCCTCACTGTGTGGGCTGCACCGTGCTGCTGCTGGGCGCCAGTAGTACGAGTGCTCTAGTGGGGCCATCCCGCTGATGCCTGCCTCGGTCCACGGTGAGGGGTGGTGATGTCGTGCGTGCATGGAGCTGGTTTTGGCAGATGTGGCTTCCTCCAATGTTCCTCTCTCTTTCTCTTTCTCTTTCTCTTTCTCTTTCTCTTTCGCTTTCTCTTTCTCTTCCGACTTCTCTTTCTCTTTCTCTTTCTCTTTCTCTTCCGACTTCTCATGCCCTCATGCCCTTGCGGCATGTGTTGCTCGTTCATGAGCCTCTTGCTTATTTGATGCCAGCTTCTGCTTTCCCCCCCTGATGTGTTTGCCAGCTTTCTCTGCTCCCCGCGCCCCTGTTCACATCGGTGTGCTGCTCCTTCTCCTATTCATGATGCCACATGCCTCCCCCACCCGCCTGTCACATCTACCGTAGATTCTCACCCCACTATTCATGACACCCCGTCATCCCTTCCTTCACTGCCACCCATTTACGTCTCTTCTTTTCACTTGCGTTCCTCTGCCCTTGAAATTGATACTCCCACCCTGGCTCGTCTCTCTTCATGTGGCTCGCCTGGCTGCCAGGCTCGGCGTGAGGAGAGGCAGCGCCAGCAGGACCCCGTGCCGGCACACATCTGGCAGATGCGCACACCAGAGCAGGCAAGGGAGTTCTGGGAGCAAGAGTTTGGAAAGAAGTCATAGCCTCTGTGTACTCTTGGTGTTTTTGGTTGGATTTGCGATAAGGTTTTTGTTCTTTATAGTCTAGAGTAGAGTTGGTTCTTCACCGCCGCTGTAAAAAGGGAAAATACATCGGCGCTCGGTATTAGGGGCCTCGATAACATGTACGGTCAGTGACACGATATAAACAATCAGAATTAGTGAGTTCGCAACATGTTTCATTAGTCGAGTTCCACTGTTAGTCAGAAACTACAGGAAAAAAGCTCCACGAATGGTCAGTCAGTAGTGTAAGAAATTGACAGGTGTTGCAGGAGTCTAAGTAAAGAATCTGCAGACACGTACACTTGGAAAACCTCAAGTGTTAGTCCATGATCTTTACTGGAATGGTAGACTAGTAAGCAGGCCCCCAAATTGCAGACTTTTTACTCTGATTCAGACTTTTTTCATAGTTTTTTTGGGGATGTACTCTGATTGCAAAGACTTTTTTTTTGTACCTTACTTTGATTTTTCAGAGAACCTTTTTGTACCTACGGTATGCTGATTTTTCATACATTTTTTACTAGTGTACTCTGATGCAGGGCCAGAAATGGGTTTAAGGCCACCCTTAGGAATCACGGTACATCGAAATTTTTACCCTGGCATGTAGGGTGGAAACTAGCGTACCCTGTCAAAATCAGGGTGTTTTGGGAAAACCAAAGCAATACCCTGATGCTGCCAGGGAATTTTTTTCCTCACCCTGATTGTCTCTGTCTGAGAACAACACGCATATTTCCAACTTGTACCTGTTTTTTCCTAACGTGCTTTGTATCAGAAAGAATAATCAGCTAGAATGTGTGAGTACAAGGGTATAAAGACAAGGGTGTTGTACCCTCTAAGGCACAATCCAGTATAGTCTACAGTAACGACCTAAGTTACATTTGACACCCCCCTAGACTATATAGGGGCAGTGCCTAACACGGAAAGAAACACGGAGAGGCCACAAGGCCAGTCAGGGTAAAATATATATATAAAGAACAGTACAAAGTCAAGGCCCTAGCAAGTGAGAGGCTACAGGAACGAGACCTAGCTGTACACAGTGCCGCTGATGATCTTTAGGTGCAAGCGCCTTCGTAAAGATATAAGCTGTGTTGGCACCGGAGGCCAAGTGTACTACGCGCGCCAGGCGGCGCTGCTGGAGCTCACGTAGGAGGAAGTACCGCAGCTGGATGTGCTTCGCTCTGCCCTCGAGTCAAGGCTCCTGACACAGGAGGATCATGGCCCTGTTGTCAGCGTACAAGACCGGGGCAGAGCTAGGCCGCTCACCTAAGTCAATGAGCAAGAAGGTCAGCCAGCGGAGCTCCTGTGCCGCCATGGCACCAGCGTAGATCTCGGCCTCACAGCTGGACTGGGCAACAGACGAGGAGCGGGTAGCTCTCCACGAGACGGCACCTGAACAAAGGCTGAAGCAAAAGCCCTGCGAGGACCTTAGGGTCTCGGCGTCTTCTGCCCAAGAACGTCTGTGTGTCCAGTAAGGACCACTCGCCTGCGTCCTCCAAGCACTAACCCCGTGCCCGATGTACTTGCAAGATAACGCAAAACCCTCTTAGCGGCAGACCAGTGCTGAGGTCGGTGTCTGCCTGTAGCCACAAAGCGAGCCAGGATGCTGAGAGGGTATGCGAGATCTGGGCGAGTGCAAGTCATCAGGTACATGAGGCAACCCACCAGCTCTGCGTAAGGACCACTAGGCTCTACTACAGTGGCGGATTAAATTGCCCGGATGTTTAACACTTTGAAACGTATCGTTATGCAACACATGTTTCGAAAATAGTAACACCCGTTTTTTTCCATTCTGTTACTCGGTTTTTGAGTTCTGCTTCATCCGTTTCTTGCTTGGCGCGATTGTGACACTAACGGAAAGTGGGGTTGAAATTTACTACTCGACTGTCGATGTGGACATTTCCTACCGAGCGGAAGAGTAGATCTATTTTCCCCCGTCGCTCAGTGTGTACATCGTCACGCGCACCAGTTCCTAGCTTAGTTGTTAGTCCGGAAGCGAGCCTACGACCGCATCGCTATGAAGCCGTTAAATGAGAAGAAGCGCGCGAGGATCAGAAGCATGTTGCGTGCGGGGCATTCGACTAGGAAAATAGGGAAACTTCTTGGCATAGGCAAGAGCACCGTGCACGATTACGGTATGAAACTCGCTGAGGAGACTAGTCGCGAGGAGGTGCGACCTACGATGCCTTCGGCCGGCCGCCCCCGCTTAATCACAACCCGTCTCCAGCGCGGAGTTATACGTGCGATTACTAGCGGCGAGGCGAAAAGCTCTTCAGACGCGGCCAAGATGTTGTTGGAGAAGCACGATCTCGCCGTAGACTCGAAGACGGTCCGCAACTCTTTACGATCCGCGGGGCTGATCGCCGTGCATCAGCCCAAGAAACCCAGGCTCTCACCGAAAAACATCCGCGATCGTCTCGACTTCGCGCGGGCGCATGCCGACTGGACGCTGGAGGACTGGAAGCGGGTGATTTGGTCTGACGAGACGAAGATTAACCGCTACTGCTCCGACGGACGTGCGTACGCCTGGATTCGCGAGGGCACCAGCCTTCGGAGCCACCAAGTCCAACAGACAGTTAAGCATGGGGGCGGTTCTGTGATGGTGTGGGGTTGCATGACGTATGAGGGGGCGGGGTTCATGTGCAAGATAGATGGCAGGATGGATGGGCCGCTGTATCGCAGCATCTTGCAAGATGAGCTCAAACAGACCATCGATTTTTTCAAGCTTTCCCCCTCAGAGGTCATTTTCCAGCACGACAATGATCCCAAGCACAGGTGTCGTCTGGTCCAAGACTGGCTTGGGGAGCAGGAGTACGCGGTGCTGGAATGGCCGTCGTGCTCCCCGGACCTTAACCCAATTGAGCACCTGTGGGCATACTTGAAAAGGCAGCTGGGGAAGTACGAAAAGCCGCCAAGGGGAATGCTGGAGCTGTGGGAGAGGGTGCAGGAGGAATGGGACAAGATACCGCCGGAGGTGTGTGCAAACCTGATCGACAGCCTGCCGAGGAGGATCAAGGCAGTGATTCGGGCAAAGGGACGCTGGACTAGGTACTAGTTTTCCTAGAATCTAGTGTGATACCATTTTCCGGTACAAATTGTCCACATGTTCTCCCATGCTATGCTTAGGAGTTTAAGGACCATGTGTGGTACTACTTTGGTGTTTGAACACTGGAGTGACTGCTCTAACTGAACTTCTCAGCGTTAATGCACACCGTACATTAAGGCTTAATGTATACGCCTCTGCACTCATAAAAATGCCAAAAAAGGCAAAACATGTGGACAATTTAATCCGCCACTGTAACTCCTCAGGAACTGGAGCGGAGAGCCTGTGGTCTAGAGGCAGAGGAGTGGGCTGTGCAGAGGAGAACTGAAGGCCGAGCCTCTGAAGGACCTGGCGCACCAAGTGTGACTCAGTCAAAGTGATAGTGCGCGCTGCTCTGTCCCTGGAGATCTGCAAGCCAAGGTAGTGGCGCAGTTCTCCAATGTCAATGCAAGTGTGTCTCTTCAGCAGCTCTGCCTTCACGGAGGCCAGTGCGTCCCAGTCTGCTGTGGCGAAGACCAGGTCATCTACGTAAACAAGGATGTAGAACGGGGTCTAGCCAGCACGAACGAAGAGCGAAGGGTCTGCAGAGGATGGAAAGAACTGCAGGTCAGCAAGCGTAGCATGCAGCGTGTCGTGCCACTCATGGGGAGCCTGCCGCAGGCTGTAGATGGGGCGCCGCAGGAGCCACTGGGTCCTAGGAGGGAAGGTACCAGTGAAGCCCTGAGGGCGGCGCAGGTAAACCTGCTCGTGTTGGCTGCCCTGAAGGAAAGCAGTGGAGAAGTCGAGGGAGTGAAGCTCATAGTCACGCTAAGCTGCTACGTGTAGCAGCACCCGAAGAGTAGTCATCTTCGGGGTCGGAGCGAAGGTCTGGAAGAAGTCCACCCCCTCACGCTGACTGAAACCTCTAGCCACGTAGCGCGACTTGAACACAGGCGGCTCTTCTTGAGGGCGCTTCACCTTGAAGAGCCAGCGGCCATCGACTACGTTCACCCCAGGTGGGGGAATTGCGTCGACGTAGGTGCCGATGTCTCCAAGATGCCATCTCCTGCTCCATGGCAGCTATCCACTGAGAAGCCCAGGGTCCCGAGACCGCCTCAGCGTAAGTGCGAGGGGTCGGGATGTCGAAAGCGTCGGGGTCACCCTCAGGAACTAGAAGCATAGAGAAGAGATGGGGAGCAGCCTCGGACAGGAAAGCAAGCTCGTACTGGCGGTCCTCCATGATGTCACTGCCGAGGGCAGGAGCACCCCCGACAGACGGAGGACAGGCAGGGTCAGAGACCAGAGCGGTGGCATAGTCAAGGCGGCGGGTAGAGGCGAAGTCAGCGACCGCAGCGACAAGGGCGTCAAAGCTCGAAACCAGAACAGACGGGTCGGTAACGAGAGAGGCAAGTACCCGAGGAATAAGAGGACGAGCGGCACGCAGGTAGTCAGACAGAGGGGGGGGAGAAACGACAAAGGAGGACGGAGGGGGCGACGGGAGAAGGGGGGGGCGAGACGAGTGGGAACGAAGCAACATAGGGTGAGAGCGCGAGACAGGGGAGACAGGTCGAGCACGGGAGGGACGGCGAGACCAGACATGAGACGGGGGAGTCGGGTCAGGGGACAGAGGAGGGGACACAAGAGGGGAACGAGGGGGGAAACGGGCCGGAGACGAGTCCGGAGGAGGGAACACAGGGCCGTAGACAGGAGGAGGAGGAGGCACAGGCACGGGTTCAAGGGACGGAAGGCCGAGCAGGCGAAGAGCGGACACCGGCGGGGACTGCTGCGGCGGCGTGTGTGACACCGATACTGGGACCGCAAGCTGCCTGGCGGCTACCTCCAAAACACTCCACGCCAGCACCCCCAGAAGGAACACCCCCAGAGCTCAGAACCCCTCGAGCACCGGTACCACCCCCAGGCCCGCCGGGACAAGCCACGACAGGAGTCCCAGGACTAGTACCTACCCCAACTCCAGCACCCCCAGAGGCAGCGAACTGCTGCGGCGACAGCTGCGGCGGCGTCGGCTGTAACGATGGCTGCGGCGGCGGTGACGACGGCTGCGACAGCGGTGGCGACAGCGGCTGCGGAGGCGGCGGAGGAGGAGACACCTGAGAAGGGGCAGGCGGCAAGGACTGCGCCGTAGGACCACCTGA